CCCCTCAAGTCATTACGCCCTGGGCCCTGGACTTGCGATCTGAGCCGAGGAATGAGAAAGTGGACAAGAGCAGCGCCTATGAGGAGGACAGTGTGAGAATTTCAGCAGTCGGGCCTTCAAGGTTTAGGGTTTAGGGTTTAGGAAACTATAGTTTAGGGTTTAGGGTTTAGGAAACTGTAAGAAGCGTTAGGTGAACCGGTGTAAATCAAGCTTCAATCTCGCGATTTGGTTTGCATGTTTGGAAGTGTTAATCGGTTCCTTAAAACCCTGATTATAATGTACCGAAAAAGCGACCATCGAATCTGCTCCGGTTACTTGTGCCATGACCCTGAATAAACTCCAATGCATTCTGTACTCGGTTACATAATACTACATGACTGGTAACCTGCAATTCGTGTAGCTGCAGCTCTGGGGGAGGATCCGAGGAGTCACACGAGTTGGGTCCACTAGGATCTCTGCAGAGAGGCTATCTGACATTCTTGAAATTAGGGTTTCGGGCTCAGGGAGGCTATCTGGGCCATTAGGGTATATTTTGTGAGGGCTCTAGCGTAAGCGTCCTACTACGAAGGAATCCCGTTTTCTGGCGTCCCTTCCAGGACATGTTCGGGCCGTTCCTACCTGTTCGTTTAGGCTTGACTCTTTTCACCCTAAACCCCAAACCCCGGGCAAGGGAAGTTCCTCCAAGGGGCTGCCAAGGCTAAGGCCCTGAGTTGCTGGGAAGAAAGGGTCCCTGCAAAGGTTCCTGTGCTTTTACTGGTTCCTCAACGATTCCTGTAAGGGGTTCCTGTAAGGCGTCCTGCGAAAGTTCGTTGACGTTTCGTTTTAAGGGCTCCTGCAAGGGGGGGTTTGCTACAAGGGTTTCTGTAAGGATGTGGGCGGGATGGTTACCGCGCTTCACCAAGCGTCACGGTCCTTATCTTATCTGAGATGCAACCACGGCATGCATAAAGGCATAAACCTTTGACCATACGAACCTTCGGCTTCGATATCTACCGGTCACAATGCTCCTATGAGCCCCAAGTTTCACTACCTGGGGTCATTTCAATGGAAAGGGCTGCAAAGAGTTTCTGTAGCCAGGAGAGGCAACGCAGCGTCCTGGCGAAGGCCGCTGCGGCGCTGGGGGTGAAGACGCCCAAGCAGGAGGTGGCCAAGCAGGGACCCCAAGAACAAAAGGGACAAGTCAAGTCTCAAGCGCGACCTGTGACGGTAGGGGGACTGCTGAATGAAGGCAGACCTCTTATAGTATAGAAGCATCCTGGCCATGTATCTCATGGAAATCTGCGTCGGGGTTACCGCATTTGATGATGGCAGTTTCCCTGAAGACTTCCAGAATGAATCGACATGTCAAGCACAGCCACGAGAGCCCTACTCTATCTTACTCTCCAAAGCCCTAAACCCGAAATCTTCCATCGCTTTGGGGTCTAGGGCGACCAACCAGTTTATCCGCAATTGTTTATTTATGGATGCAAAGAGACATAGCATGGGGTAAAGAAAGAACAAAGCACCCCTAAACCCTGATCCCTAAACCGTAATCCCTAAACCCTAAACCGTAGCCCCTAACCCTAAACCCAAGGCCCAACCCGGGACCTGCGAAGCTTGTGGCCATGCGACGTGCCGTGAATGCCGTGAAGCAGAGCAAAAGGCCGCTAAAGGGCCGACATGGGCTTCTCTGACTGGTTCTTAGTAGGGAATGGGGGAATGGGTTATTGGGACTACTATAGGGGACCTTAAGGGACTATCATAGGGATCCATTCCCCCATTCCCTACTACAAAAACCAGAGAGTTCAAGGTTGAGGGTTTATAATAGGGTTGAGGTTCTGGGGTTAAGGGATGTTTATAAGGCGCCAAAGGGCGGACAGGTATGCTTCAGGGTTCTATGGTTTAGGGATGCGTAGGGCTTATGTAGGTCTTGTAAGGTGTGTGCTAGCTCGCTGTTTTCTTCGATTAGGATTCTTCTTTGTTGTCGAGATCTTGTCGGATTCGGAACGGTGTTTTGGGGCTGAGATGGGGTGTGGATCTCCACGGTGTTCCCACTCACTGTCGCAGTAGTCGTCGATGCCTATTTCTGCCGAAGGTAGGCGCACCGGATCGGTGTTAGTATAGGGGACGAGGTCGTCGGGCATAGCTGTTGCAGAGCGCGGCAGATCAATGCTCACGGCTGTGGGAGTTGGTGTCTGTTTTGAGGTTGTAAGTCCCTTTAGTTCGGGTTATATATTTGTAGAGTTGCCCTACTTATAACCCACTTGTAGCTACCCTAGACCCTAAACCCTGTAGAACCCTTCAAAGTAACCCTACCTATAACCCCACCCATGAACCTCCAAGTAGCATCTTTCCGTGCGATCATCGCGTTTTCAGGATTTGGAGTCTAGTATCGATGTGTAACACGATGTTTTTCCAAATCACAGTGCAAACGTTCGGCACTTGCAGGTGGATCGCATCCCCAAGTGGTGCAGCTTTCTGCAGGAGCTGGTTGCCAGCACAGTGGGTTAGAGAGCGGTCGACAGTGTGTTCGGATTGGAGGCTTCAGGGTTTCTTTTCTCTTGCAGGATTTTGGTTTAGGGTTTAGGGTTTAGGGTTTAGGGCTGGCTTAGGAGTAAGGAGAGCTCAGGCAACCTCGCGTATGATAACTTCAGACTAGATTCTGGGCTACAATAAATCTCCCAGTAAGCACGACCGATAAGCCAGAAACATACTGCGCCGGCTTCGTGTAGCCCCGCCTAAACTCCTAAACCCTCAAGCCATCAAGTCTTCAATTAACTGAACTGAAACCCTACCTAGCCCCCGAGCTGTAGTGGCTTTGTATAGGATGACCATTGGAATCTTAATCACAAAAACAATCCAAAGCGGTGCTATTGTCCAGGCTCCAGGTAGCCCCCAAACCTCCGGAAGCATACATCCCTAAGCCCTAAACCGCGTATCCCCGAACCCTAATTCCTAGCTCCTAAACCCCAATGCAAAAGCTACAGAGGATGGAGCGCGAGCCCATGCCGGAGCCACAGCCAAGTGGGGAGGAGAGCTCACAACTGAGGCCCGGGCCTTACCGAGCCTTGTAAGTGGGTTTAGGGTCTCGGGGCGGAGGTTCTTTTGTTAGATGTCTGTCGGGTTCTATGAGAGATTTATACCTAAACCCTCCATCTACCCTCTATTAGACCTTAAATCCCAATTATTGAATTCGGACCATATACCCCTATAATAGTATTTGAGGGTACATGGAAGGTCCTGGTATAGTGGCTTCTTTGTAGTTGGGGTCAAATCGTCGGAAAAAGCCCGCGCCCGCAACTCCTGGACACTAGACCCGAGCCTTGAAATTAGTAAAGAAGCCCCTGTAAAGTCTAAACCTTCTAAGCCCTGTCAACCCTAAACCGCAACTTTAGACCCCAGACCCTAAACTCTAAACCCTAAAACCCTAAACCCTCAACCCTGAACCGCAACTTTAGAGGAACCGTATTCTACTGAGGCTGGATCCACCGGAGGCTCCCTCGCATCGCCGGCCTTCAAGGTTTAGGGTTCAGGCTTTGGGCTTGACCCATAGGCCCCTAAGTAGCTCCTTTTTATGGTTTATATTTAGAATCCTATAAGGTAATCCCAAGAAGGAACTACTTAGGGGCCTATGGGTAGAGTTTGGGGTTTTAGCGCTTGGGCTTCAGGCTTTGGGCTTTGGGCTTTGGGGGTGGCCTGTAAGGTTTGGGGGTTAGGGTTGAGGATTTAAGGTTTGATGAGGTTTGTGTCTGGTTTTCTGATTTCCGCATCTCATGGCAGGTTCTCTGAATCTCATTCCATGATTCTTGCTGTTGCCAGTTGGTATCATGAACGCGTCGTTGCGACAGGCCTGCCTTTGTTTAGCTGCTTAACCCTAAACCCTAAACCACATCCCACAGTCCCTTGCAGGGTTTCGACATCCAAAGAATTCTGATGCAAAAACAGTCGGGGAGCGTCGGCAAGGCATCTTCGTGCCTTCATTGGGAAGTGATGAGTCTTCGTTCGTTGGGCCCGTGCATGACTTGAACATCTGAGGTCTTGGAATGAACTTCCGTGTACATGCAGCCTTGCTTTTCAAACTGCCATCGGGTTCCCCAGCCTGTTTTTTATTTGGTATACCCCCGAACCGTATTCTGAATAGTCAGGCGCCTCTAGTAGCCATCCGTGGGGACCCTGAGGCCCAGCCAAGGTGTTCTAGGTTTATTTCACGTTCGAGCACCGAAGCGTCCGTCTCAGAAGCCAAAGGGTGACTCCTCCCAAGATCCTTATACAAAGGCGCCTCGACATCAACTAAGCCTCCTGGTTGCTATTCCGTCCTCCCCGTTTGAAGGCGCCGTCGAGGTGCAACAGCTTGGTAGTTGAGTCGCGAAGCGCATCCAAAGGTCCTTGACCCGGATTTCGTCGAGGGCTTTTTCGGGCTTAATCCTCGGATGTTACGGAACAAGGGGCCTCCAGTTTGCGGCTCTTGCCGAGATCTATGATCTAGAGTAGACCATACCAGCCCGCTCAGAACTGGCTCACCTAAGGGATTCTTAAAGCGCGTTCGGCGGCAAGGGTTTATAGATGCAGCTCAAGGGTTCTACAAGGTGCTTCACACTATAATCACTGCCCAGAATGTTGCAAACGTCTCTTGATCTGTTTATCCTGTTTATCTCGAGCACATCAAATCAAAGAGGCAACTAATCTAATGGAGCGGGGCTCCACGAGGCAGTGATGGATCAAGGCCCGACCAACATCATTTCGCAAGTTGGGTTGTTCTGGACTCCTTCATGTGGAGAAGTGCACTGGAAATCAGGCTGCAGCGGTTCTGTCACGTAGTCTCCTCAGGCTTATGGCCTATAAGGTGTCGTTTTTCTCAATTGCTGCAGCATCAGGGGCCAGACGTTAAATGACAAATCGTACTTAACCCTGTGCTCAGGACTGCCCTGATTGAAGTGTCGTCGAGTGGTTTCCCCGCAGCAAGATGCCCAAGTACTGGCAGTAGTCGGCTCCTACTTACTCTTGCCAGCCTCTTGCCAGCGATGACGAACAGCGCCACCACAAAGATTGTCAGTTCAGTCATATTGGGAGTCGTTGCGCTTGGCGGGACCATCCTCTCAAAGTACACGGCCAGCTTGTCAACGAAGTTGATGCGTGTATGCAATGCTGGAGCAGGGGGCGTGCTTCTCGCCGTGGTCCTTGTGCCAAGGCTTTCCATTTACCGTTCCGTTTCTTCTGCCTTTTCGTTTCTTCTGTTTTTTCATGTCAATGTGTACACTAGTACAAGTGCATGCGTGTAAGAATCCGCTACGATCGGACCGCGGACCGGTATACCATGTCCACGCAAAGGATCTAAACTCCAAGCACCATGTGTCACTAGGGTACATTGTAGCACATGCGCATACGTCTTAGCTACAATGTGCTACGATCGAGACACTGAACGAGACACTGATCTATGTTACCGGAATTTATCGGAGATGGAACAGGTTTTGTATCAGCTCTGTGCCGTTTGTCTTTCTTTGTATCAAGCACGAAGCCTCAGAGGCTAGTAATGCAGACCCCGCGTCAGGTTCGTGCAGGGTTTCACTGAGGCATAGTTTTTCGGGACTGCTAGAGATTTGACATCCTGTTACAAGAAGCAGCAACCCTACTCCATGAACCCAGGAAGCGGCCAACAACACTTATAATGAGGTCATATAGAGCCAGCCCATGACGAAGCCCCGAACTGTGTAGACTTGCCGTTTGAACCTAAGATGGTAGACTCGACCAGGAGCCCAGTTCGCGATTTGAGCACCCTGACTAACACCTGCATGCCCGGCAGAAATCGAGTGATTGGACGTGACAAAACGCGGCATCTGTACATCTATAGTAGATCGACCGAGACACCATATATACATATATACATATATGTATAGGTATGTAGGTAGGTAGGTAGGTAGGTAGGTAGGTGGGTAGGTAGGTAGATAGGTAGGTAGGTAGGTAGGTATGTATGTATGTTTGTATGTATGTATGTCATTATGTACCGCAGGTTACTATACCGGAGCTATACAAGTATATACATATATACACATATACACACATACATATATATATACACACATATATTATAAGCCTAATAGTTATGTTGCGGCGGTTTGTCTCTTTGTCCATCTCTCCTTTTTCTGTGTCCATTTCTCAAAACAGTCTTAGCAACTCTTTTGTGAGTGCCTCTGTCCCTTTACAGAATCACTCTGTGAGCTGCACTTGTTTCAAGCCAGACGCAAAGACACTGATACAGGGGTCTCAAACATAGTATAGCAGTTTCACTTTCTATTTCTGTCCACTATAATTGCGCCATAATAGGCGCCAAAAACTGGGTCTACGTGTCAAGGCACCACTTTTGTAAGGCCTCTAGTAGTCAGCTGTAAATTCCAGACGGACTGAGGTGCACATGCTCAGTGAGAGCGCTGAAGAATTGACTTCAGCTGGTGAGTCGATCTTTCAGTTCTTCGAACCAGAAGGAGGCGACTCAGGTTTAGGAGTTTAGGGCTTGGGGTTGACGTCAAAACCAAGGCAGGTCTTACCCGACCGTGCTTGTTCATTAAGCTCTGAACGCAAGAAACCCGAACCCCTAAACCCGAAACTCTAAAGCCCAGCCTAGACTTCGAGCACCTCCAACCCTGAACCTTACTTTGAGACCCTTATGATAAAGCACTAATTGCAGAGCCCTTGGCAACCCCTTGTGCACAGCCTGGAACTTTACGTGGTAGCTCAAGGCGACTCTTTCCCCCTGCGCTTTGCTCTCTGTGGCCTGGGGTTCCTTGCGAACTTGAGCATGGAAGCGCCATGGCCGCTTTGGACCCCCCTTTTGGATTCAGAGTTTCCGGTTCAGATCTAAGAAGACCAGCAGCAAACTTTCAGACGCGTTCTCTGTGCTTCAGAAGCATAGCCATCACCCTTGTAATCACCGGGCTTGAGCAATGCGCCAACACCGTTGCAGTTGAATCTTGATCACACGACTCGTGCGCCCGCCTGCAACAACGAACAAGGTGTTCATTCCCGACAAGCACGACTATGAGGGCCACTCAGAGGAAGAATCAGAGAGTGAAAGCCACAGCGAAATGGAACATGCACACATTAAAGTCGACCACCGGCAGTCTTGCATTGGTGGATTTGCTGCTCTGTTGGGTCTTTACCTACACTCGTTGATAGAGGGGACTGCCGCGGGCGCACAGCCAGATGTTGCTAATTTCGACTCCACATTCATTGCCATTATCGCGCACAAGGGCTTTGCCGCCTTTTCTGCTGGCTCGCTCATGCTTGGTGCAGTGTCAAACCCAACTTGGTGGATCTTGATGGTGATCCTCGCGTTGATGACGCCGGTGGGCGTCTTGATGCTTGCCTGGAGTGGCGTACATGTTTGTGTATTTTTTTGAGTTTGGTGTCTTCGACGAACAAGAGTGTACATGACTCGGGCAGTGCCCATTGCACAAACTTGCATATCCCTTATTTAAAAATATGTCTCAAAGCGTTGTGTCTTAAGGACAGTGGCGCTGGGTACTTTGAATGCCCAGTTCCGAAACAGCAAAGCCGAAAACCTAAAGCCCTAAAGCCCCAAACTACAAAGCCCAAACTCTATAAGAATTCATAAACAAGCTGCATAACTTCCCCGTAAAGCACCAGAAAGCTCAGGATAGGAATGAAGCTGGAGGAGAGTTTTGAAGGTCCGGTAGCCTCCGGCCTCGTTTGCTTTACCTCTGGCTGCCTTCTGTGCCTCGAATTGTTTTTTCGGTGGTTCTCGTGGTTCTGTACTTGGAGGTTCATGGGTAGTTATAAGTAGGGTTATAAGTCCCCAAATATGGGTTATAAGTATATATAGTTATTCTACTTCTAACCCTACTTATAACTACCCATGAACCTCCAAGTAAGGGTTCTGAAGGGTCTTACAGCGTGCTCTTTTTCATTGCTTTCCGGGTCCTGGGCTCTAGGCTTATAGGGCTGGTTTCTCTGAACGGTTTCAGGAAGTAGCGTGAAAGTTAAGGAGGGGTTCAGGGCCTTAGCAATTTGGATCTTGGGTAGAGGGCGCAGGGGCCTACGGGGTTCACTGTGCGGTTGAGGTTGCGCGCAAGGCTTGCAGTATAAGCTCGAGATTCTCAAGCAGAATTCCACTAAACTTTAAATCCTAAGTCCTACATCGACAATGCTTCAAGCTTGATCAGGCGAATCCTGAACCGTTAACCTTGGTCCAGTGAGTTAATCATAAGAACAATAATAAGGTAATGAACAATATCGGATCGGGAACAATATCTAATACTTTACTTAGCCTTATGCCCTTAACCCAAAACCCCTATGGTAAAGCCCTAACTTCTGCAAAGCTTGCGGGCGAATTTAAAGCTTGGGTCGTTGGGCTGTCGCTGGGCTGTGAAGTTCTGGAATATATCCCTAAACCCTAACTATGAAGTACTGGAATATCGCGCTCCGACAGGATCGAAGCTCCCCTATCCGGCAACCCTGCATTAGTGTTTAGGGTTTAGGGCAGTTTAGGGTTTAGGGTGTACTGCGGGTGTCGCTAAATATGTCTTGCAGTACGCACCCACAAACCTTGTACTTGCGCCCTAAACCCTTAGACCCTAAACCCCTAAACACCAAGACCCGAAGCCCGGGACCTCATACAAATTGAAAACTACAGTAGGGTTTAGGGTTTATAGGGGTTCAGGGGTTTAGGGTTTAGAAATTCCGGGGAAGCCTCCTCCGAACCCTCCGAAAAAAAAACCTAGACCAAGGTGTATTGCAGTCTACGACATGCTAATGCCGGCTTTCCTTACTGGCAACTCCCAGTGGCGGCGGCGGAGCTTCTTGGTGGCGGTCCTCTGCTTCTGCCTGATGTCCTTGCTGGCCATCTGGTCCTAGAGCGGCTTAAGATAGGGGCCTAAATGGTTAGCTACCAATATTAATGTGGGTGCTTCCTTTTTTGGGGTTCTAGTATACTATATACCCCCCAAAACCCTATTCTGATTATTAGGGCCCTTGCATTCGGGCTTATTAAGGTTTATAGGGCAGCTTCCAAGGCCTCTCCGCATGAGGGCTCTGCTCTAGGAATTTTAGAGTTCGGGTTGTTCGTTCCCTAGGGCTCCAGATACTTAAATAGTAGGTTACTGGGGTACATAATATATGGTTAGTAACCCACTATTTAGGTAACTGGAGCCCTAGGGGTTACGAAATCCTAGACCTCGAGCGGGGAATCCACACTTCGACATGCCGGCTTGAGATCAATCGGGTCAATTTTCTAGTTGAAAATGTAATGCGCTTTTTGTTGGGCTTCAGAGTTCTAGGCATTAAATTAAGGATGTAGTGACTTACGGCTTTGGGGGTTTCAAGGTTTAAGGCCTTTTGGCTAGACCCTGCTGGGTCACCGCTGGAGGGGTGATCATTCGAGGAGACGGTTGTCTCTGTCTCTGAAGTACGGGGCGTCTGCGACTTGCTAGGACGCAGCAAGCCTTTAAAGGATAAAGCACTAAAGCGAATGTATCAATTTTTCGTTTCCACAACTTCTGTAGGCATTGTGTCTTGGTTCGTCGTTTACATTATTGCCTGTGTGTTAGTCATTCGTGTTCCATGCAGTTTACGGCTACGGGTTTACTTATAGGCTCATTCAACATGTGTAGTATGTGTGTGTGTATGTATATATATATAAACAAATATATATATATATGTATACATATATATATATATAGCCATATGCATATGTAGTGTACTGCCACTAGTAGTTGTCGTAGTCGTCGCAGTAGTAGCAGGGGTAGGAGCAGTAGCAGTAGCGGTAGCGGTAGCGGCAGCCGCAGCAGCAGCAGCAGCAGCAGCAGCAGTAGCAGTAGCAGTAGCAGTAGCAGTAGCAATAGCAGTAGGAGTCGGAGTAGGAGTAGTAGTAGTAGTAGTAGTAGCAGTAGCAGTAGCAGTAGCAGTAGTAGTAGTAGTAGTATAGTAGTAGTAGTAGTAGTAGTAGTAGTAGTAGGCGCGA